TTTAATCACTAAAATATGCAAACATGTGGAGAAACAGAATAATTAAGAACTTAAATAATCACACATCAGTTTGTGTTTCTAACACTGTAACATTTAGTACACACCAGTTTTGAACAACAGATGGTCAGGAATTTTTACAAGATAGCCATAATTCTTGGTAAGCCATGCCTTTCTTGAACTGTTATTTACAACTATTTGCCACAGAAAAAAACCCACTGCAAATACATGAGGAAAAATGTGTGAATTCTATCATTAGGAAGACGAAAGAATAGAAAATTTAAAAGTAAGCATTATAGCAGGGCATGGTTGTTCCATATCACTGACTCATAGGAGGAAAATGAAATTTAAATAGGCCAACTGTGGCATATAAAGTATATTTCACAATGACTCTCCTCTTTATCTTTTAAAATGTTTGTTCCGTATCAGTGACTACATTTTCTTTGAGATTTCTAGATAGGTTTCACTGCCTTTCTATAATTATAACAACGTAAAAACAATACAAACATTTCCTTTAAATGCTTCCAGTGCACAAATCAATTGTTTTTTTAAGGACTGAAGATCCAATGCAATAAAGCTGAATGAAGAATTATTTATACATTAGCCTACAGCTATCTTTGAATTGTGCTTAGGTATACATTTGTTCTTTAATTAAACTACCTATTTTATTTGCCATAGGTTATGACGCTCCACCTTTGTTACTTGTCAAACACAAAGCTAAAACTGGCTCTTCCAGTATTAGTACTGTTTAGTAGAATGAGCAAACTGGACTATTGTTTCCAGTGCAAAAATATTTGTTTCTCTAAAGTGCAGCGATCATGCCATTTGTATGCAGTAGTGGACAATGATTGAATAATAAACAGAAAAAAACACAATGTTATTGGCTACTATATTATTGCTCAAATAAAGCATTTTTGGAAAAAGGGGCAGAAGATCTTTTAATGGACTTTAACTTTCAAGATCAGCAAATTACATGCAAGTGGGCATCAATAACATAACACCTATATTCTTCTATCATTTTCAGAATGTAATACAGCTTTATAAATTATACAAAATGAAAATACAATAACATATTTGCTATTGTAGTATAAATAGATGACTTTAGAATCATCCAAGGAAGCTAAATGATGTCAGATGCAGGATAAATAAACATATAATTCTGACATCACACAATTGAAACTGCCTATCAGGAAATACAGCAGCTTTAAAATGATTAGACTAACTCATCAAAGTTTACAGAAATAACCTTTACTGCTTCCAAAATCAAAAGCATGTGGTATATTCTAGTTATTATGGATCAGCAGCAGATGGTTCTTGAACTCATAACTTGTTTTCAGACTTCCTATAGCCGTGATGGTGAACCTATGGCACACTTGCCATAGGTGACACACAGAGCCATTTGTGCAGGCACATGAGCCCCAGCCAAACTTACCTACACTGCACATGCGTGCACCTCCCAGCTGATTTTCGGCCAGTTTGAGGTCTTTTTTGTGCTCCCGGGGGCTCAAGGGAAGCCTCTGCAGCCTTTGGAGGCCAAAAAATGGGCTTTCCGGAAATACTGGAAGTGCCAAAACCAGAAGTGCCGAAACGGGCCCATTTTTCGGCCTCCAAAGGCTGCAGAGGCCTCCCTGGAGCCCCCGGGAGGGCGAAAACAGCCTCAAATGGGCCAAAAATCAGCTGGGAGGCATGCGTATGTGCAGTCCAGGTCAGGGGGGGTTGTACACGCATGCACAGGGGTGCATTGCATTGTGGGTGCTAGCAGACATGTGTGCGTGTGGCACACCACAACAAAAAGATTTGCCATCACTGTCCTATATCAAGCGTCTTCAAACTTGGCAAGTTTAAGACTTGTGGACTTCAACTCCCAGAATTCCTGAGCTAACATGACTGGAGGAGGAATTCTGGGAATTGAAGTCCACAAGTCTTAAAGCTGTCAAGTTTGAAGACCCCTGTTCTATAGGCATTTAATCTATTGGAAATGGAAAGCAGAATTTGGTAATAGGCAGGTGTTTGCCCTGATGGAAAAAGACAGTTAATTTGTAACAATAAAGCCAATTTTCATCTAGTAGCAACAGTCACATTGCACAATATTTTAAGGGAATGTGTAACAGATTCCTGATATGGCAGTTGTACACATCCTAGTTATGCACGCCCTCATTCATCTCAGTTAATCATTTTCTTTCTACATACAGAATAGACCAATCCAATTAGGCTTTAAAAAGTCCTCTGCTCAGGATAGCAGAATGGGGAAGCAAAGAACTTTATTTCTATTGGAACAAAAGCAATTATACGTGTTCATATACTGAAATGGAATACACATGCATATATATATGTGCTTTATTGAGGCTACCATCTGCACCTCTATAATGATCTAGGTTGGTTCTGCAACACACAGACACAGACAGACTTCAGAGGATAATTAGGACTGCAGGAAAAGAATTACCACCAACCTGCCTTCAATTGAGGACCTGAATACTGCAGAAGTCAAAAAGAGGGTCGTGAAAATATTTACAGACCCCTCACATATCGGATATAAACTGTTTCAACTCCTTCCCTCAAAACGACACTATAGAGCACTCCACACCAGAACAACTAGACACAAGGACAGTTTTTCCCCAAAAGCCATCACTCTGCTAAACAAATAACTCCCTCAACACTGTTACTAAGTCTGCACAACTATTACTGTTAATCTTCTCATCACTCCTTATCACCCATCCCTTCCCACTTGTGAATGTATGACTGTCGCTTGTATCTTTAAGATTTATATTGACTGTTTCCTAGTATGATTTGATTGCTTATTGTACCCTATGACTATCATTAAGTGTTGTACCTTATGATTCTTGACGAATGTATCTTTTCTTTTATGTATACTGAGAGTATTTGCACCAAGATAAATTCTTTGTGTGTCCTATCACACTTGGCCAATAAAGCCTATTCTATTCTTTGTGGCATCTATATTCTAATTCTTCTGGATCCAGTTTGTTTCCTTTAACAGCGATGTATATATTGTCAGGGTGCTTGTTAATATAACTACAAATAGCCACCTATTTGTAACCACCTTGAAGGTGACTTTACTATCTAATCTAACCTCATGTTACATTTTCAGCCTCTTCTTGTGCAACAGGTAATGATGCTCTTGAGCTGAGCCCGACTCCTGGCAGTTCTACACACACAAAAATAACTGCCTTGCAATAAAACAGAACTAATTTGCATTTTCTTCTAGGATAGTCTTCTACTTCCTATTCTAGCCAAGAGCCCACAAATTCCCTGTCATCTCTTATACAAGAAAGAAACAATTCTGATTTCTCTGCCCAAATAAGGTCATTCAAATGCTGCTACCTGGGATTTTATAGTCATTTTTTATTTTTCCATTTCTACTGAAAACCAGTAAGATTTTTAAAAAAGATTGACACTCCAACTTCCTCATTTCTGATTAAAATTGTGTGTGTCTAAGAATTGCATTAATTCACAAGAATGATAGGGAAGTTATATTTCTCAGGCCTAAAACATAAAAGTAAAAATATTTATCTTTCCCTATTAAACTAAAAATTGCCTAGAATTAGATGCTAGTAAGAAATATACAGTAAGTAGTCATTGGCTTTGAGAGATTTAATTTAAAAATACAGTAGCTAACACTTGCAAATGAATTTAGCTATTCTAGCTATTTAGTTTAATTTGTACAGATTCTATTGTCATATTTGTGTTTTTTCCCACAAATGTTATTCATTACTTAGAAAAGTAACATTTTATGCCTGAAATTTTAAGCACTTATCTCTAGGATTTGAACTTTTTTTACACAATATTCTTCCTAATATAAACTTTCTTATTGTTTCAGGCTTCTACAGGCCATTCAATTTTAATTTGATAATGTTTATCGTATTTATACTGTTCTGCCATTATGAGTTGATATTGGATGAGGCCCAGATTATATCCACTGAACCTATGTCCTTTCAAATGTACCAGGGGTTAAATCATGAGTGCGCCTTTGATTTTAATGCTGCTTAAATCTGACTAATCCAGGCTGAATCTGACATTGTTTTTATCCCTTTATCATTATAGTAAGTTGATCTGATTTGCTAAACAAATTTTACAATTATGATTTTGCAAAAGTGGTTATTTCATTGATGTGTACTAATTTAGTATGTTTTGATTCCTTTCTAAAGGATGGACAATTAGCGGCTTAAGTAAGCTCATAACTCGATTTCTAAGCGAAACAACTTCCTCCCATTTTCTGCACAGTATAAATTAAGGGTCACCATTCTACCAACCATGCCCAACTTCTACCCTAAGCTTGATTTAATGCAGCATTTTTCTTTAACTCTGGCATATTACCTTAAAGTGGTGGTTACAGTAATAAATTTTTAAAGTGTATTAAAAAAAACTGCTGCTTTCTCAGCCTTACCCTTTTTTCTCAGCCAGACCATTTTAATGAAGGTATGTGTACGCTAAAACAAACAGAAAATGGCCAGGTGCGACAAGATTTCTAGCAGCTGTTGAAGGCACACACACACTCTTAAATAACTGCACGAAAACCTCCTAGTTATTTTCAAAAAATGCTGATACTCCCAAGTTCTTTTGCAGGCCGCCCTCCTAGAGAGGGGAAACCCCTTACTGTTTAAACCAGGAGTCTCCCACCTTGGCAACTTAAGATTTGTGAACTTCAACTCCCAGAATTCCTCAGCCAGCTTTGCTGGCTGAGGAATTCTGGGAGTTGAAGTTCACAAGTCTTTAAAGTTGCCAAGGTTGGAGACCCCTGGTTTAAACTAGTTTGGGCAGGGGTGGGTAACTATGACAACTTTACGCCCTGTGGTCCTGCCGGCTCAGGAATGCTGGGAGTTGAAGTCCACAGGTCATAAAGTTGCCACAAGCTGCCCCCACCCCCGAGCTTGGGGTTTGCGGACGAGTCGGGACCCAAGAGATTCGATCCACCCACAAAAAGATCTTGCCGCTCTGAGATCGAAAGGACGGTGGTTGTGGGAACCTCCTGAAGCCCGGCCTCATACCTTTCGTTGGGCGCTGGAGTCGTACTTGTCATTCCGGAAGCCTTGAGCGTTCTGGTGCCGTTGAGCTCGCGTCCGGGACACGTTCCCTCTCTGGGAGCTCATCTTCCATTCTTCTCCCCCTCGCCCGGAAGCAAACCGGCTCCTCACATCCGGCCAAGAGGTTTGTTGCAGCGCCTCAGGTTACCTCGAACGGCAGAGCGGCTGCGATTGGCTTCAATGAGTTAGATCCCGCCTTCCTCCCAGGAAATCTGACAAGAGCACGCAGCCGAGAGACGTAATTTTATTGGTCGGCTCTCGAAGGCTACCGGTCAGAGAGGCTTTTAAGTCCCGCCCCTCGCCTCGCTAGGCAGGGGTCTATACCTCAGCTTCTCCCTCTCGCTTGTTCTGTTTAGTTCCCCGTGAGGCGGGTTGGATTTTTTTTTTTTTCCTCTCACGGAACGTGCACCAGAGCTTCTGCCGCGCTCTAGCTTCGGGGTTCCCCCCCCCCCACCCGCCTGAGGTTTGGGTGCCGCTGAGGAGAGGAAGGGAGGAACTCGAGCCGGCGCTTTAGGCCGTCGCCCGGCATTGGAGCTTTGGCGGTTGCTCGGCTTAACTGAATCCTTCGGCTTTCGAACGGCGCCGCTCCCAAGAGCCTGGGCCGGAACGGGTCGAGCGCTGTGGGCGAGCCGGGAGCGAGCGCCGAAGCGCGCCCGCCGCTCTGCTAGGCAGTTGGACGCGGGCCGCGCGGTCTCTGCGGACGCGAGTCCTGAGGTGAGCGCCCTCTTTGTCGCCTCGGTTTAAAGAATTGGGGGTGGGGGAGCGAAGATAGTGGCCTCGGGGGTCTCGCCAGCAGTCATGGCCGAAGTAAGAGGAGGGGAGGGTTGCTTGTCTAAGGTATAATTAAGGCCGCCTGCGGTTCCCTCGGGCAGAATAAGGACGAGGACGCCGGGAGAGCTCTTGAGAACCGGAGCTACTCTGCTGGGCCCCCAATATCTGTCCCGCGTGGAGTGGGTAGCGCCCTCCTCCGTATGCGCGCGCAATTGCCCTCCATCTCCCTCTCTCCCCCCCTCTCCTCCCCCCCCCCCCCCCCCCCCGCTTCATTTCTTCCCCCCTTCCCTTCTCTCCTCTGCAATACACCGGCTTTCCAGTGCGGCGCCAGGACGGGGGCCCTTGAGTTCCTTCGGCTGTCCGCGAAGGTACTGTGGAGAAGAGCTTCGCCTCGTCTCCCGGTGCGAGCAGCGCTGCGGCCTAGATAACGGGGCGGAGGGGGTGGGTGGCTCGCCTGGCCGTGATCAGCAGGCCGAGGAATCGAGGCGAGCTCTGGGTTGGTTGAATGGTGTGTGTCCTCGGGAGAGGAGGAAAAACTCTCTGGGTCTTGGTGGAGAGAATGACCTGCGCTGTGCTCGTCCTTCTTTTGTATGCGAGGCAGCTTTGGGAGACGAGGAGAGAGAGAGAGAAGGAGGATGAAAGGCATATACTGTTCTAGGGGATAGAAAAGCGCCAAGTAGTACTGGCTGTGTTTCTGAACAAAGCTTTTCTTCCCACGAGCCTCGCCCCACTCCTGCGACCCTGTTTGGATTTTCGTCAGATCTGAAGTCTCTTTGGTTGAGAATTTCTTGGAAGCATTATACTGTGTTCTTTTAAAGACTTTTGTCGGAGGCTTATATTCTTGGCTAAAACTAATATAAACAAGTGGGTTTCTTATTCTTATTGAGATGCTAAATATTTCCTAACCCTTAGCCTTTTGAAGGTGTAAAGAGACCTGTTTGGAATGGCTAACATACCTACAGGATGGGATTTCTGTTATGAAAGGGTAGATTGTGTTTTTGTTTTTAACAGTGCTGTCATGTATTTCTTTTGCCTGTTTAATTAAATGGTTTAATTGAAACTCTTAAGTTATTCTGTTTAAATTCTTTGGGGGAGGGGGGAGGGTCTATTGGTTAAAAATTTATTTCTAGAAAATCAAGCCTCTATGTAGCTTCACATTTTGTCAGGATAATAATGTAGTCAAGCTTCTTCTGGTAGCTTATCCTATGTGTTTGATAGCATGTAATCATCCAAACACACATCCTTTAAAATATGTGTAAAATTAATGTTGCTCAAATAAAAATATGTACATTACCAACTCCAAACTTTGAACAAATTCATATTTTACCTCTAGTTTTGAATGCATATTCTTGGCAAACTGTTTGCCATGACCCTAACAGTCCATATTGTTCATTGCATTCTAAGTAAGAATAGCTATGAGGAAATAGTGCAAAATATTCAAGTTAGCTGTGCTAGCTTTATTATTTATTAAAGAACTTTCAACGTGCCCAGGTTCTGGTACATTGTTTGCAGAAAGTTATTTGTGAAAAAATGAAAAATACGATATCAAGATATTTCCCTTTCACAACATACTATGCCAAAATGTTTATTTTCCACAAATAAGGTTTCAACAAAAAAAATGGTCCTGACTAAACCCAAGTTTCATGAAAGTTCCCTGAAGCTTAACTAAGAAAAGCATGTACAATTCAAAGTATTATCTATAACAGACCTGGGCATTTTACGGCCTTGGGCCAATCTTCTGGTTGTTCCTATCTGGCCCATGTGAGGTTAATTTGAAATTAGAAATCAAATGTAAGTGTATGCCATGCTCACAATACAATTGCATTGCTTTTATTTTGAAGGCAATTGCTTTTTTTTCAATTGATGTATTTGGGTGCATGCATGCTTGTATACCCTTCACAGCCCTATTTGGTTCAGCCCTCCACAGTCCCGTTTCTTATGCAGCCCCCTTGGAAAAATTAATTACCTACCCTTGACTACGGAGTGTTATCTGGGTCTGGCTATCTATGGAACTGCTTTCCTCTAAATGCCCTTTCCCATTTAATAGGTTCTGACTAAGTAGGTAGAGTTCCTTTCAGTAAAACAATGACATCTTGTGGGATCCAGTTGTGTACCTTCTCTGTTGTTGCTCTTCCTAAATATTTGGCACAAAGCTGGTTCTACTTTAAAAGGCACAAAAAAGTGACTGAGCAGGCCATAGGATGCAGTGTTTGTAATCATGCTTTATGGTGATTGAAACTTTTTAAATGTATTTTCCAATGGTGTCATTTAATTTTTTAAAATACCTTTTGCATTCTGGTTGTTTTCATTGAGTTTTTAATGTAAGCTACTTTGAGTCTTTCCAGTTTGGCAGACATATAAGGGTAATAAATGTTCAGTGTGCAGAAGCTTTCATTAAATGTGACATACTCATTATATAGTTTAATTAAAAGTATGTTTCACCAGCTAAATAGAATAGTATATATCTGAATTTGTATGATACTACTAGGAGAGAAGTGACAGTTACACTCTTACTGGCATTAGTTCTTCCTTGATTTTCAAAATTAATAAATGGAAAAAGGCATCCTATTTCTTCCTATATTGGGAAAATAGCAGGGCAAAAAATACCCATATATAAAATGCTATGACTGGTTATTGTAGAATAAGCTAACAAGTTGTTTGCTACTAGACAGACTTATTTTCGAGCAGGAATATGAAAAACTGTTAAATATAGGCCAACTGGTAAATAAGCTGCAAAAGTGCAACTCCGCATCCTTCATTGTTGCAGTGGACATTGTAGTGAGGAATAGTGGAGCTGCTGCACTTGAAAATATACTGCTTCTGTTGCAGAATATTGTTAAAAAGGAATTATGTGGCTATACAGTACCGTCATTCTTTGCAAATAAAATAAAGGACTTTCCTGTGTCTTCTTGAAAAACTGGTAAAATATCAGTGTTAAAATTAGAGACACATTTAGTCCTCATTCAAGGTTAGAACAGCACTGAAAAAGTGACTTATGACTGTTTTTCACCCTTATGAACATTGCCGCATCTCCCTTTGGGTGGTTGGCAACTGGCATGTATTTATGACACGTGGTCACCATTTGTAACCTTTCCAGCTGGCTTCCAACAATTCAGATTCACTAATGACCGTAATAATCACTTAACTGCAGTGATTCATTTAATTGTGGCAAAAAGGTCATAAAATGGAGCAAAACTTGCTTAGCAATGTAAATTTTGGGCTCAATTGTGGTCATAGGTTGAGGAGTACCTGTACTTTTGTTTTGCATCACTTTTATATTTGATAGCCTTTGTGATGACTTGTTTGTTTCACTCATAGGCTAAAGCCATATCACATGACTAAGGGAAAAGGTTGGGGTTGTCAGGATATGATATGTCAGAGTAAGGTCAGGGCCTTTGTGTATACTCATTTCACATTCTCTGATTCATGACATAGGTCTGTATAGAATCTGAGGAATAAAATTTAGGCAAATGTTTT